ACTAGTGGGCAAGTTGAAATCTCCAATTGGGAATTATAACGGATACTTGAGGTAACAGTAAGTTTTCCGATAAATGATTGGTCTAAGAAGCTTGACCACTCTTTTTGGGCTTACAATACAACTTTCAAAACACCTATAAGTATGTCTCCTTTAGTCTAGTTTTTAGGAAAGCATGCCACTTGCTAGTGGAATTAGAGCACCGTGCTTACTAGGTTGTCAAAAACTTAATTCTTGATTTAAAGACAGTTGGTGGAAAGAGGTTACTCCAATTGAATGGAATGGATGAGTTTTGACTGGAAACTTTTGAGAACGCGATGCTTTACAAGAAGTGCACCAAAAGATGGCATGACATGCATATAGACAAAAGTTTAAGGTGGGACAAAATGTCATGTTATACAACTCTGAACTCAAGCTTTTTTCGAGTAAGTTGAGGTCAAGGTGGTTGGGTCCATACACAATTACCAAGGTATCTCCATATGTGGCTGTAGAGATCACTCACGATAGTAAGGAGACTTTTAAAGTTAACGGACAGCAGTTGAAGCCTTGTTGGAGTGGTGATTTCTCATAGAAAATGTCCATAGTTCATCTTAGAACACCGGAGTGAATCAACCACCATAAAGTCGAGCTATAGACTATAAACAAGCGCTTATTGGGAGGCAACTCAATGTTTCTTCCCTTTTATTTATTCTGCTTTATGCATTAGATTAGGAATTTTCCATGTTTTTGATAGTTTTTGGTAATATCAGGTCATTCATCATCCATATAAATCACAAAGAGTCTATGCGTGGTCTACACTAGATTTAAATGTGTTATGCATATGTTTGGGGGTGTTGGAGTGTTACTTGGTTGACTCGGTGTGAAAATCATGCATTTCGAGGCAAAAAGATAATTTAAGCTACTCCGACTCAACCAGTGTTTTCAAGTTTGAAAGTATTTTTAGAGCCAACTACATGGCTTACTCTCGCACCATATAGTTTAAAATGTGTTTTGAAAGGTTATGAGGGCTGTAAAAAGTCAACTTGAGTTATGGATGGAAAAACGAGATTTTGGGAAAAAGTTAACCAAAAAATATTTTATCATTTTTCCATGTTAAATATACTCATCACTCTCATTTTAAATTGTTTGGCATGAAATTTAAGGTCCAAGCGGTTGGGATGATCGAACAATCAAAATCTTTGATACGGGCAAAAACTACCTATAATATGGTTGCATATCATATATTAAGGCCTAAATTGGCCCTAAATTTTTTTTCTATGCAACTACATGAATTTACTCTATGCGGTCGCATAGAGTAATACAACAACAAAAAAATTGCAAATCAATTTTAAAAAGGCAACACACGGTCCTCACATTCACTGTCACAACACAACACCACACACAAACTCAAGACCTTCAACTCACAAAAACATGCACATGAGTTTTATGTCAACACTCCAAACTCACTTTCACCTCCAAGAATCCATCACGTAGAAGTTGGTATCACTTGTTTCACCCGTTGAATTCGCTACACCACACTAATTTACAAAGGATTGCAAGGTATGAATTCATTTCTACCCCCCTTCACTCACTTGTTTTGCAATTGTATTATTCAAATCTTTTGATTGCTTGAAAGAGTATGAGATTAGTTTGATTGTAGTATACTAAATTGTGGTTGTGTTGTGAAGATTGGGGCTCGATTCAAACCTAAGTCATTGCCAATTTTAGAGAATGAATGTGTTGCCTTCAAAGTATTTGATAAACTGCCACAGTAGAATTTTCATGCATAATTAGGGTTAAACTTAAATTTAAATTGGTGTTTTTCTATTTCGGATTATGTTGGGTGCAAGAAGTCGTTCACATTGGATACAAAAACACCAAACCTAAATTGACATATGTAGACATGACATGGTTAGGCACATGTTACCTCACATCACTAATTCATCCCTTGATTTTATAAACCAAACGAGTCCATTTGACTTCAAATTTGAATATGAACAAAAATAATATGAGCTATTTTATATGCTCGGAGATTGCTCGGGAAAATTTCAATTTTCCTCACGTTACCCGAAGGTGAAATTCCTTGGTTGACCATGGGCCAGTATGGGGAATCTGCATCATTTGTGACCAAAACTTTGAATTCTTCTGAGATACCAACCCTATTTCATTATACATTTCATCAAGCAGGGTATTGTTAGTCACTTTATGCTTTGTTCGGTTTTATTACTTGAATTTATTAAGTCTAAGCGTTGTATACATGCATTTTGAAATAAGTTTCAGAGATTTGGATACTCGTGCTATTATATTACATGTAAATGAGATAGCATCTGTTTGTGCATAACAGATGGATTAATTCTTTTATTTTTCTTGTTTGTATGATGCCATATAAGCGAACTGCTAAAGGGAAGGAGAAAGTCGCCTCCACTTCTGGTACTACTCGTACTTTGGAACCTGAATGGAGTACAAAAAGGGTTTTAGATCAAGAGGCCACGTCTAGATACTTTGATATATTTAGCCTTTGGTCATTACTCGCGAAGAGACCAGTGAAACTCGAAGATTTCTCAAGGTTTGAGGTGGTGACTCTAGTTTAGAACTGTGGATAGGACAAGGTAGTGGAAAGACCACACCTAATGTATAATGGACTAGTTCAGGAATTTTATGCAAATTTCA